CACATATTGAAGAGTGTCCAAGCGTATCCGAGCTTGGATACGTATCGAATGATGGTACGTAATGAGTTTACAACTATCTGTGCTTTTTAGCTTTTTCCCATCTCCAGTGTTTATACCACCTTGCTAATAATCGAAGATCTAATTTTAATGCTTCTTGCTTAGAAGGATTGCTACTTCTTAGATGTATAGTATAAAGGTGATTCTTTTCATGCCAAAATAATGTCGAGCTTCTCGAGTTATGTGATTTTATATTTTCTATTGATGTATGAGTCCTATTTATAATGTATAAGAAGCATATGAAACTTCATGGTTATCTTAACCATTTATTGTACACTGATAGACGATACACAATTTTGTTTCAATGCCAACCCATGTATAATATTTCATAATTGAGCTTAATATCTATTTCCACACACATCTGTATAAAAGAAGAGAATGAATGAATTTTGGAGAAGAAATTTCTGATATGAGAAGAAATGGAAACTGTCATGAAAAACTCGGTTGCATTGGTAAATATGTTTACAATATCAGTTATAAAGAACCTGAAGATTTCGGTATGATTGGTGCAACAAGGTGTTTGATTTTCGCCAACGTAATAAAAAAATGTATTCTGATTTTGAACTTGGAATTAAGGATAATACAAAGATGTGATGTTAAGTAAAGTTTTTCCCAGGTAAAATGTGGCATTAGTAGACAGTTATTCTTTTGATTTATACTGCTTCTTTTACCTTTCAGATAATTGAACGGCACAAAGAAGAAAAAGAATACAAATTTCAATGGTACATGTATATCAACATCTTGTTCCAACCTGAAGCTCCAGTTTCATTGTTCCAGCCTTGAGTTTCAAATTCGTCTGCAGCTGGAGTAAGTTTTGTGTTCTAGCCTGGTGTTCTAGATTTAGCTCGACGACCTGTTTTCCAGCCTTGAGTTCCAGATTTGTCCGCAGTCGGAGTTTCAGCTTCTTCTGGAATCGGAGTACTAGCCAAGCCCTAGCGTGGAGTTCCAGCTTCATCTGGGGCAGGCGTACGATCTCGTTTCCAGCCAGAAGTTCTAGCTTCACCGAGGCAGAACCACGATCCTTATTTCAGCTGGTACGAGCTTGTTGCCTTCTATAATACTTGGGAATAAAAGCTTCAGCCTTGTCAGGATACTTTTCCTTGAGGAAGTTCTCCACACATTTACGGTAGGAAAAATCTTGCTTGGCACCATCAATAGAAACTGCATAGAAGCACCTACTATGCTGGAAATCCTGGTACCTACTAACCTGTTAAATAAAGGCCTAAAATTAGCTTAAAATAAGCAGATAAAAATAATTAGAAAAACAGCAAGGGAAAGAAGGGTACATCACGTAAGGAAACCATTTCAATCTCAAGCATATTAAACATATGCAACACTATGTCTCTATTTTGTCTATGATAAAGAAGAGCGGCATAATTTGGTAAAAAAAATTACACAGAACTTAAAACAATACAAACCAGAAATGCACATGTTTGCAACTGTAAACAAGTTAGCGTGTACATGAAATCATAGGACATATCAAAATAGATTCGAGATCAATTTTTTCCTTTGAAAGACTTTCTCAGCACAAGTTTGTTTCATATATTTGATGTCAAAAATATCTTAATGTTGAAAGCTCATATTGACTCAAGAAGAAAGACATGGCAAATTATACATGAATCATTCCAAAAATATATATATAAGACAACAGACATTTAACTGATTCATGCAGAACAAATTAGCATACTATGATATGCTTTAATCCAGCTTCCATCTTTGCAACTTTATGAGGATGGTAATTCATCACATTATCCACCATGTATGATTCATCATCTCCTGATATAGGATCACCATAATTGGGGTGATTTATTTCTCTCCTAATTGAGAGATTATTTTCTTTTTCCATCATATTGGTTGTAATATAGATATAGAATTGTAAAATTGTAAATCAACAAGAAATACAGAATTTCTCTTCTGATTTTAGAAAGGTCGAAATGGTATCTATATGATGACTTCTTTGATTTTTTATCTCAAGTCTTGGGAATTCTTCCATTGACCTTGGATTTTACATTTTTCATGTCTGACTATGCAATTCTTGGTAAATCAAACACTGCAAAACCCCAGAAAGCCATCACCATAACCTAGAGAAATATTACAAAATCCATGTATAATTATCAACAGCAACAGTAATGAAACTCAAAATCACATTTCCAATGACTACATAAATAATCAAGAAAAATACAATCCAAATTTAGTAAAAAATGGTGCAATAAAAATGACCTTCGTAAGAGGTTTTTCTTCTTCTCCCTCTAGCAAAAATATTGGAGTAATCAAGTTTGGATTTCCAAAAATACCAAACCTGGCACGTTCATCCAGGCCCAAAAGATCGAGAATCGGAACGGATGACCCGCATTGCAAGCAGGAGAAAATCTCTGCTTGAACTCCAAGTTACATTCCTACCGAACCCATCCCTCCGCTGCCACTTGAAAAAGTCTTTTCTAACGAAGAAATTTGAGATTTCATCTCATTGACTTCATATTTCAATTCAGAACATGAAGATTTTGAACAAGAGGGTTTTGAAGAACTCTCCTCTTTGAATTGATTTAATATTTTATTCATATTAAAAGGAGCAACAGAAGGTTTTGAAGGCAAAAGAAAGGAGAACTTACTCTTATTTTCTCAATTATTTTTTGAATAAGTTCTTCTTCTTTAGTAAGAACGTTTATAGTTTTACAACCACAAACTTCTTTACCTTGAATTGAGGTGGAAGGGGAATTTGAACCAATTTTTACATCAGAATCTTTTTTATGTTGATAAACCATTTCAAGTTCAAAATCAGAATCGTCTTCTCCCGAGCTGGAATTGAGTAAATTCAGATGTTCAAGTTTAACTTCTTTATTAATTTGAAGATTGTTAATCTTTTCCTTCATATAACATTTATTTGAATAATGACCAGATTGATTGCATTTCCAGCAAGTAATATCAGAAGGTTTTCTTTAAGAATTTTCTTTATAAACTTTTCTGAGGATAATTTTGAAAAGTATTTTTCTTTTGAAAATGTTTTGAAAAGGATCTTTTTCTCGAATGAGAAGGAAAGATTTTCTTTTTAGATTTTGAAGATGGAGGGATGATCTTTTCAAATTTATATTGTTCACAAAAAGATCCCAACTCTTTCCAACTATGAGATCTTTCTGCTTTCAGTTTGTCTTTGAGTTTAAGATCACTACATAATGATAGCCCTTCCTTATTGACAAAATTAATAATTTCACTATAAGTACAGCATAAGGGACATAATCATTATATATGATTTTGATAAAATTCCTAACTCTTTCAGCAAAGAGTTTTGAAAGTCCGAAAATAGATCTTTCTTTCCAAAAAGATTGAGTGCAGTCATCTCTAATCATAACTCTGGTAAGGAACATACCCTTTTACCAATGAAAATCATGAAGTTTAAGGCAATTTAAGTTTAATAAAATCTCGGATGACCTTTCTTGAAGGAGAGTAGGAGTACCAATGAAGTGCTTTAATATTGAATATATTAAAGTATTGAAACTATCATATTGATGTAACTCATTGTAGCGTTATGAATTTTTTAACTATCTTAATCATTGAGATAGTTATTCCACCAAAATTTAATTTGTTCGGTAAACCTACTAATTAAATTTATATAGGCGGTTGAAGGAGGAACATCACGACTGAGATATGCATTATAGCATACAACCATGTTTTCAATGATTCTAATAATTTGAAATTCTGTATGACCATCAATATTTCATTCAATGATCTCATCACCAGAATATGATTTTTGAGGTTTTCCTTTTTCCTCATATAGCATATCAGGATAAGAGAGACGATTGTAATAGGTTGGAAGCTTAGAATGTTGGTCTCTCAATTTATTGATTTGAAGATGTTCATCTTCAATAAATTGAGATTCAGATTTTTCAAGATTATCAATAGTATTAATATTCTTGGAATTTCCTAGTTTAGAAATTTGATTTACGAGCTTTTGTAAAATACTTGATTCTGATGAAAGAGTACCATTTTTTAACTTTAGAAGCATTTTTGAATCGGCAGGTTTTAAAACAAATTTTAAAAAATAAAATAATTTTTTAAAAAATAAAATAAAACAAAATTTATTTTAAGAAAAAAATTTAAAACAAAATAAAAAGTTAATTTAAAAAAACGTTACTTAGAATAATAAAATAAAAAGTTACATTAAAAAATGTTCCTTAAAAAAATAAAATAAAATAAAAACTTATTTAATTTTTTAAATAAAAGAAAAGGAAAAAGAAAAAACTAATTGCAACCATAGTCCCAATTTTTAAAAAAAAGTACAAATAAGTCTCAAGTAAATTTTTTTTTGGATCAAAAGTCTCAAGTAAATTAGTAAAAGAGTAATTAACACATAATACCTATGCCTTTAACTATTATTGTGAGAAACATCTATACATTTCACTATTATTGTGAAAAAGTTCATA